GCTCGAACTCACAGACTGAGGTCATGACCTGAGCTGAAGTCGGATGCTTAACCGGCTGAGCCCCCCAGGCGCCCCTGGAAATAATTTTTTAATGATAACTCAATGTTTTGGCCTATTCAGTAAATTATTTAGTTCCGAAGGAAAGTTCCTTGTTTTGTAATGAAATGATGGACTTAATGGTAAATCCTCTCAGATATATGACTTTGTGGTATAAATGCATCTGGCTAATGCGTAAATGCAGTGCATTCGGAAGCAATCGCAATTAGTCGGTTAAATTTTAAAACGAAAAAAAATTGGATATGTACATTGAAAAAGGAAAAAAATAGCACTTTTTTTTTTTTTTAAGTTGAATGTAGCCATTGATAAGACCTGCACACTGATAGATAATTCTGCGGGCATCCACCACATTTTGACATAATACATTACTAGTAAACATTCGAAAAGTAGATCTATTTTGTCGGGAGTAACAATTAACATTCGGAGTTAGATTAGAATCTCAGGACCTTATTTATTGTAAACCATTTTACCTAGGTCTTATTGTAGCTAATTTGGATAGCCCACTTCTCATTTTCCCTTTATTTTTTTAAAAATAGCTCTTTTGATATTAAAACATATGCCTGAAAATTTACCCATTTTAAGTGTACACTTATATGACTGTTAGTAAATTTACCGAATTATGCAGCTATCACCAACATTCAGTTTCAGAACATTCCCTTCCCCCAAGTGCCTATTTACAATTAATCCTGTCTTGCCACACCGGTGTCAGGCAACTGATAATCTACTTTCTGTCTCTAAAGATTTGCCTTTTTGAACATTTCATGTAAATTGAATTATACATTATTTCATTGTCCCTTTAAAACGCCCAGTCACCCCTGCACAATCTGGAGCTCAGCTCTTTCTCTGAATAAAAACTGAATAAAAATATTGCTACTTTAATGCCTGGCTTTGTTTATCTTTGACAATCATCCCCACCCCTAATGCACACAAAAACTGTAACAACTATACAGGTGCCAACAGGGGAAGGAGTGCTACTGGCATCTAGTGGGGAGAGGCCAGGGATGCTGCTAAACATCCTATTATGCACAGAACTGTCTCCCACAATTACTCAAACCAAAATGTCAAAATGTTGAGGTTGAAAAACTCTGCTGACCAGTAGAACCCAAAGTTTTAGCGATTAGAAGCAAAAATTAAAAAAAAACAAAACAACAACAACACAAAAATTTTACTAGGATGTCAGAGAGATGATAAAGGAAGGGTCCACTCCCATTTCCATGATTTGACTCCCAGACCCACGAATCCCGACTATGGGAGAAATAGCACCATATTATTGATTGCTGATTTATAGCATATGTCCACAAAACGTACTTTGCATCTAGCTGGTACTGAAACTGGTCCTCAAGAGGCCATTCCAACATCTTATTAGGTCAGTTGCTTTTTTGTGTGTGTGGTAAAATATATGATATAACATTTGCTGTTTTAACCATTTTGAAGTGACAATTCAGTGGCATTAACTACATACTGCTGTGCAGCTATCACTGTCTGCTTCTAAACTTTTTCATCACCCCTAACAGAAACTGTAACCATCAAGCAATGACTCCCATTTCCCCTCTCTCCCAGCACCGAAAGTCTCTAATCTATTATTTTTCTCTGTGATTTGCCCATTCTAGATACCTCATATAAGTGTAAACATAGTAATGTATGCCTTTAAAAAAAATGTTTTTTTACATTTATTTATTTTTGATAGAGTGAGACAACGCATGAGTGGGGGAGGGGCAGAGAGAGAGTGAGACACAGAATCCGAAGCAGGTTCCAGACTCCAAGCTGTTAGCACAGAGCCCGACATGGGGCTCGAACCCACGAACCGTGAGATCGTGACCTGAGCAGAAGTTGGACACTTAACCCATTGAACCACCCAGGTGCCCCAGTAATTTATGCTCTTGAGGCAGACTTACTTCACTTAGCATACTGTTTTCAGGGTTCATCATTTGTAGCATGTGTATGAATTTTATTCCTTTGTATGGCTGAATAATATTCCATTGTATGTGTATATACCACAATTGATTTATCCATTCCTTGGGTTGTTTCCACTTATTCGCTCTTGTGAATAATGCTGCAGTGAATATGAGTATGCAAATATCTGTTTGAGTCCCGGTTTTCAATTCTTTGGTGTATATACCCTCGGAGTAGAATATGATAATTCTGTGTTTAGGCCAGCTGCTTTATAATGATAGTGACATCACTTATCTATTGCTGCATAGCAAATTTTTCCAAAACTTTGTGGGTTTAAAACATAAATGAGGGGCGCCTGGGTGGGTGCGGCGCCAGTGGGATTAGCGTCGATAAGCCAGTCCGCGATCTTTCCTTGGAGTCTGTGAAGTTCGAGCCCAGCGTCAGAAACTCTGGGCTGATGGCTCAAACCTGGAGCCTCGTTTCCACGTTCTGTCTCCTCTCTCCTCTGCCCCTCCCCCGTTCATGCTCTGTCTCTCTCTGTCCCAAAAATAAATAAACGTTGAAAAAAAAATTTAAAAAAAAAAACATAAATGAGACAGGGACCTTGGGAACAAAACCCTATGCACCCGGAACTCTCCCACATGGCTGTTAACACTTCTCTTGCAGAGCAACACGTGAGCTGTTACTGCTTTCTTAAACTAGCCAAGGAACAAGACTAGACCAGGTTCAGACTGAAGTCCTGATGCCTTATAAGATGGGCAAGCATTTGCTTTTTTCGCAGCTTTTCCCTCATTATATAATGCAAAAGAAATGCCAAAGTGGAGACAACATGAAACAGCAATAATGTGGGCATGTTTTTGTCAATTGGGCTTGTGCCCCAAATTTCCTGAATTCACCACCCCCTACGTAGCAACATCCCTCCTTTCCCACCTCAGTCCCTTTAAAAGTTCCCTTGAGGGGCTGGATGGCTTAGTTGGATAAGTGTCCAAGCACTTCAGCTCAGGTCGTGATCTCCCAGTTTGTGAGTTCGAGCCCCACATCAGGCTGTGTTTAACGACAGCTGAACCTGGAACTTATTTTTGCTTTGGATTCGTTCATTCTCTCGCCCTTCCCCACTTGTGCTCTGTCTCTCAAAAATAAATACATGTAGGGGAAAAAAAGTTCCCTTGACTATTGTTCAGAGAGCCAGTTTGACACCTTTGTCACTACCTGTCTCTCTCCAGCTGTAGCTGTTGCCCCCATAATAAAGCCTTGCCTGTGCTTTTAAATTTTGGGTCCAGCCTCATTTCTACTATGGCTGGGTCCAAAGACCTGAGTCCAGTAACATAATTATTTATCTTCTTATATTTTCTGTGGGTCAGGAATCCAGGAGCTACTTAGCTGGGGTGGTCCTGTTCCAGATTCTCCTGAAGCTGGAGTCACGTTGGCAGATCAGCTCCAAGATGGCCACTCATATGGCTGGCTTTTCACAGGCTGCATGAGTACTTTATGAAATGGTGATGGGACTTTCCTTCAGGTAGGTAATTCAAGAGCCTAAGGCAGAAAGAGTGATGCTTTTCACCACCTGGCCTCGGAAGTCAGGCACCATCTAACAGTGTTACTTATTAGGAGTCACTAAATCTAGTCCACATTTAAGAGAGGGGAATAGGCTCCACCTTTTGAAGGGAGAAGTGTTATAAAGAATTTGTGAAACTACAGGGGAAAATAAGATGTCTGGCTTCAAAGAACTTTCCTTCGTTTGTATGGGAAGCGGACTCTGATTCACGCTAGGAATCAGTCTCTCACTAATAGGAGTGAGTCATGTTCGAGGTCATTAGCTAACCTACAGATTGAGCCTTCCTTTCATTATTCCCACAATCGCCACTCTTCCCCCGGCGTTGTAGTAAGCAAAACTGAACAATTCCGTTTCCCATATATATGCTCTATTTTCCTGCCTTGACACAATTCTCTCCAACTTGGGATGCCCACTTACCCCTAATGAAAGTGAAAGAAAGAATCCCAAGAACTCAATTTAAAAATTCTAGTAAACATTTTGGATAACAGATCAAAAAGGGAACGGAAAAAGAATACACCCAAACTGGCGCGTGCGCAGAACCGCGAATGAGCAGGAGACAGCGGGCTTGCGCGGGGACGGGGCGGCGCATGCGCGGGGCGACTTGTGGCCAGTGCGCCGCGCTGAGTCCCTTTTCCTCACGCGGTGGCTGTTACTTTATAGCTGCCGGGTGCTTGTGAGGGTGATGGATTTTGAGAATCTTTTCTCCAAGCCCCCCAACCCGGCCCTGGGTAAAAATCCGACCACGGACTCTGATGAAAGGTGATTCCGCATCTTTTTCTACTTTGGTCGCAGGGACTCAGCTGTGTTCCGCCTTTTGGTTCCATTCGGAGGCCGCTGGGGCTGCGCGTGGGCCACGCCGCGGGGTCGCGCGGGGAGTGCGTGAGCGAGCGCGTGGGGTTGGCCTGGCAGACGCGAGGGTCGGACGTGGAGAGGTCGTTCCGAAGCCGCGGGGACGGACGCCGGAGGTGGGGATCCGTTCGTAAGCCGCCACGGCTCTGGCCGGGACCCTGCTTGAGGTTGAGGGGACCGGCGGGGTCCAGGCGGCGACCGAGGGGGGTCGAGGGAGGCCCCAGGATGCTCCCCTTTCCTTGCGCTCCTGACCCTGTGAACCAGGTTAGAAACCCAGTGGGTTGTTCCCAAAGTACTCCTACTTCCATCGGACCATCAGCTCCTAGGGGACAGATTGTCATTTCTCACTGACACATGCTAACCGCTTTTTTTTTCCTTTTAGAAAAAACCGAAACCCTAAGTTCATTAAGCAGTGAAGGGTGAATAGTTTGCCTTTAGTGCATTGATTTGCCTCAAAAGACCCTGAAGACCATAATAAATCAGCAAACACCTTTGAGATGTAACATTTCCTTTAGGTTGAGAAAGTCGGGGGCACTGCTGGCCAGACGGTGCTAGTTTATTGATCTCATTCTTAGAGACGTGTATAGTGTAGTTTCTTTACACGCAGATACTAATTTACTTTTTTTTTTTTTTTTTTTACTGAGTTTGAAATGCAAAAACCAACTTCTAAGCTTTTAATGTATTTTTTCCAATTTCCCTAAGCTGAAACTGTGACACACAGTCCTTTGTTCCTTTATTTCTCTCTTTGTCAATGTATCTCTTATTCTGGTTGATTTTACCTTCTGATATCAAATCTGTTCCCGTCTCTCTCAAATACCTTGATTAAAACTATTACCTTAATTCAGGCTACCATCAAGAGTTTTATTTAGTGCTTTACATGAAATATGTCATTTGATCTTAACCTTGAAGAAAAGAACTATCCTTGTTTTTGCAGATGAGAAAATTGCAGAGAAAGGATAAATAACTTGTCAAGATTGCACAGTGTAAGTGGCAAAACTAGGATTAAGTTACCCAGTCTTACTTCAGGAGCCATGATTTGATTTCATTGCTACGTTTCTAAGACAAAGTGACTAAAATAAGGTCTATAAATATTGAAAAGAGACAAAGACACTAATTAATTGCAGAAAACAAGAGGAACCAGTTAATAGACTATTGAAATACGTAAGAGAATTCGGCAAGGTGAATCATCACAAAAACAATAGCTGCATGTAAGAAAACAATAGGTTCTGTCGATTTGAAGATGTGTTGGACATAAGATTCTATTCACAAAAGCTTTACTGAACTACATATTACACTTGATCTTAGCCAAAAGGCCGAGAAGCGATTTTACTGAACTACATAAAAGACACTTCTGGATTTCTGCCAAAATATTAGGTGGAGAATGGTATTGAAGTATGGGAGAGCATCTGTGAACTGTTCCTTGTTCATACATATCCTTTGCCTGTTTTTGTTGGTCTTTCTCTTTAAAATTTTAGGATCTCTGGTCTGCAGATATTTTACTTCCGATTTGTTGTCTTTTGACTTTGCTTATGGCTTTATTTTCATTGCATAAAGGTTTTTTTGTTTGTTTTAAGTAAGGTCAAATGAATTAATCTTTAATGGTTTCTGGGTTTTTTGCTAGTAATTTTATGATGGGATTACTCGTGTATTGAGCACTTGCCACATATGAGACATCCTAGGCCCTGGGGCTATAGCAATAAATAAACAAAAGAGATAAAAATCTCCATATTCATGAGATTTATATGCTTGGTTCACAGTACATAAATAGATAGTGTTTTAGGTGATGATAAATGCCTGGGAGAAAACGAAAATGGTAGGAAGTGAGGATGGGATGGTCGGGAGAATGTAGATGTTTTAAAGACGATAGTTAAAGCCTCAGTGATATCATCGATGAGTAATATTTGAGTAGGGACTTGGAGGTGAGGAAGATTGATTTCTAGCAGAGAGAATATAAAAGCACGTATAAAAGTCCTGAAGTGGAGTGAACATGGTGTGATTGGGTCATTGGAGCAGAGGGGCCAGGAGTAGCAGGAGTTGAAGAGAAGTAATACTCTAGAGGTACGCATGATAGGGTCAGGGAGGCAGTTCATGTAGGGACTTGTAGATGCCATAAGAATGACTTTGCCTTTTACCCTGAATGAGATGAAAGGCTATTGGAAGGTTTTCAACAGGGTGACATTTTAGCAGGGTCATTCTGGTTGTGTTGAGAGTAGAATGTAACAAGTCAAGAGAAGCTTGGATCATAGTATTTAGTAGCAAGAAGTGGCCAAATATGGGTATATTTTAAAGATAAACTGGATTTTCTCACAGATTGGATGGGGATAGGAGAGAGGAGTCTATGTTGACTTCAAGGTTTTTGGTCGGTATCATTAGAAGGGTAGAGTTGGTGTTGAAAATAGCAAGAGGAGTAGATCAAGAATTCAGTTTTGGCTCTATTAAAAATATGTCAGGTAGCAATCCAGGGGAATATGTTGAATAGGTACTTGGCTCTGCCTGCCTGGGCTCCAATCTCAACTCTTCCAGTTAACTAGGTCTGTGGGAAGTTTTATAAGCTTTCTGTAATTCAGTTTTCTCGTCTGTGAAATGGTCTGTGTGTCTTAAGTTTGTTGTGATGTGGGTAATAAGCATGGAATAGCTTCTGGCAGAGGGAAAGCATAATGCAAGTGTTAGCTGCTGCTGTTGTTAATGCTATTGTAGTCATTACTGTCATTATTGCTTTGCCTCAGGGGAGGTTGCCTCCTACTCCATGAAATATTTCATTACTGTAACTGGAGCAATGAAGACTCACAGTATCTGGCTTATTGGCTCTTGTAATAATGGCTTCTGTAGAAGGCTCAAACTTGGTGTCTTATCTGAAGAAATTTTGAGGCTCTAACTGGGGATAGATCAGTGGTAAACTGTTGAATTGGATTAAGTTGTGAAGCCTGAGCTCCTCCTAAGTTTGAAAGAAGCTCAGAGCCACTCTTCACATTCTTGCGCATTCCATTTGTAACACGTTTTTTTGAGAATGTACACATTGCCTAGTCCTTACCTTTACCAGGCATGTAACTCCTATCTTAAGCTTTTATTCAGTAGTCACTACTTGTCCAGATACAATTGCTTTCAGTCTCTGGTATTTATAGTATAAGCCATTATTTAGCTTTACCCATAAATTTCATTGGCATCTTTGTTCACCAGCTTCTTATATTTCCCATCTTCATCTTTCATTTTTAGCTTTGCCAGAATATTCTCAAGTAATTGTCTCAGATGACGTCTCTGCATGTTCAGCTTCTCAGTCCTTGCAAGTCTGGAAACAACTTCTTTTTTATCTTTCCACTTGCTTATAAGTTAGGCTCTCTCCTGACCTTGAAGGACACCCTGCATTTTACCTGAAATACTATTCTCCCTTACGTTCCTCCTTGTTTGCTAACTTTTTAAAAAGTTTACGTGTTTATTTATTTTAAGTAATCTCTACACCCAATGTGGGGCTCAAACTCATGACCCCAAGATCAAGAGTTGCATGCTCTTCCAGCTGAGTCAGCCCGGCACCCCTGTTAGCTAATTCTTATATACCTTTGAGGCTTAGAAAACCTTGGCTCCCAAATGTAGGTTAAGTGTTCTTCATATATGTACCAATGCTTATCAGACTATATTGAAATTGCTTTATTTTTTTTCTCCAAGAATATAGAAAGTTCTCACAAGGCAGGGACAAAGTCTTTTTCATTGTTGTGTTCCAGGATTTAAGGCCTACAGCCTGGTATATGGTGGATACTCAGTATTTGTTGAATGAATGGAATGATGGATGAATGAATGGGTGGTTTCTATAGCTGCTAATACTAGAACATGAAGGTTATGCATTAAATTTCAGGTTTGTACTTTACTTACAAACACATGTTGACATTTACTGCTTCTGTAATTTTGTTCTTGGAGTATTTGGAGTAGAATTTGAATTTGGAATTCCTTTGACGGCAAGTAGAAGATAAGCCAAAGCAGTGAATTTTAATGGTGTGGTATGAACCATTTCCAGGTTGAAAAACCCTTCTTGTATTATTTGATATTTTTGCTACAGAATCGATGATGAAATAGATGATACAGAAGTTGAAGAAACACAAGAAGAGAAAATAAAATGGGAAGTAAAACTGGAGTGTGAGCAAATACCCAAAAAAGTAAGATTAAGTTGGCATATCAAAACACCAGACAGGAGTGGGTGTGAGAAATTTATCAGGGGTCCTATTTGTCTCAGTATAGTCAGCATTTGAGATCTAGTTGCTTATATCAAGGAAACCTTGGTTACACGGTCAAAAAACATATTAAAAAACTAGTCATTTAACGTGAACTGTTTTAGTGTATTGCTTTTATTTTGGTTGTCTCTATTTCTGAAATGGGTTGTAGTCTATTTCAAAACCTTTTCAAATTAGGTCACAATTTTTAAGGGTTTTGATTTGCTGACTCAACTAACCTTAGTGATTTACAGCTAACTCAACTAACCTTAGTGATTTACAGCTTAAAGCTTGGATGAATTTGCTAGGACTGCCCTAAACAAAGTACCACAAAGTGGGTGACTTAAATAACAGAAGGTTATTGTCTTGTGTCTCTGGAGGCTGGAAATCTGAGATCAAGGTGCTGGCAAGGTTGGTTCCTTCTGAGGGCTGTGAGGGGGAGTCTGTTTCATGCCCCTCACATAGTTTCTGGTGGTTTGTTGCCAGTCTTTGGTGTTCCTTGGCATAGCTTCCAGAAGCATCACCTTGATCTTTACCTTCATATTTGAATTGTGTTCTCCCTGTGTGCATATTTCTGTATCTAAAATCCTTTTATTTATTTTTCTATTTTTGATGTTTATTTATTTTTGAGAGAGAGAGAGAGAGACAGAGCACGAGCGGGGGAGGAGCAGAGAGAGAGGGAGACACAGAATCCGAAACAGGCTCCAGGCTCTGTCAGCACAGAGCCCGACGCGGGGCTCGAACTCACAAACCACGAGATCATGACCTGAGCCGAAGCCAGACGCTCAACTGCTCAACCGACTGAGCCACCCAGGCACCCCAAAATTAATCCTTTTATAAGGACATCAGTCATATTGGATTAGATAACCTACCCTAGGAATCATCTTAACCAATTATACATGTAATGGCCCTATTTCCAAATAAGCCCACATTCTAAGGTTAGGACTTCATCCAGAGAATGTTGAGGGGGCGGACACAGTCAACCCATAACAGCTAGTATCTATGCCTCTCTTGCCTCTTTCTCTCTCTTTGAAAATTTTTTTTTCTAAATTTTTTTTAATGTTTTTTTGTGAGAGAGAGACTGAGAGAGAGCAGGGGAGGGGCAAAGACAGTAGGAGACACAGAATCTGAGGCAGGCTCCAGGCTCTGAGCAGTCCACACAGAGTCCCATGAGGGGCTCAAACTCAACCATGAAATCATGACCTGAGCTGAAGTCAGACATTTAACCGACTGAGCCACCCAGGCGCCCGTGAAATTTTTTTTAATTGTGAATTTTAACACATTACAAAGAGATGGGTTTGAGTGGGGAGTGAGACTCACAAGACACAAATAGGCTTTAATATGATACTTTGCAGGCTCTGCATTGCCAGTGCGGAGCTGGATGTGGGCCTGGAGCCCACGAGCCACAAGATCATGACGTGAACCAAAATCAAAAGTTGGGCGCTTAGCGGACTGAGCCACCCAGGCATCATTTAATGTGCTACTTTTATACTTGGCTTTATAAAAGGATACAGGACAGGTAATGCAGCAGGTACATCATCTTCAGCTTCTCAGCTACCCAAGTATATAACTTCTTTTGCCCTTTGGGGCATGTCTGGCTGCTGTGGACAAGAACCAAGGTCTTGACACTAAAACTGTAGCCTGGATTTCCCCCCAATTTTTAATACTCTTTTAGTCATACAGACCCCAGTTCTTCATACCCACTTAAGGTTCCCTAATCCATGTATAATCCTATACAGGAATTAGGCAGATAGAACATTCTACAGTTAATCTTAAGTAGATTCCAAGAAACAGTACTGTGAGAAGATGGACACCTGCATTATTCCTAAGTAGGCTTGCTACAGCCCGACTCTTTACTCACAAGTGCATGAAACATAAATGTACAGTATCACAGCTGATTAAAAATAGAACACCCAAGCCAACAATTTGCAAGTCTAGAAAGAACATTATGCGCAAAGCCTCTGATGCCTCCTTTCTCAGTCATAACCCCTTGTTTCCTCCTAGAGGTAACTAGAGACCTAACTTGCATGCTAATAATCACTTCCTTGCTCTTCTTTACAGGTTTAGTTTTACTGCTGATGCTGTCATCCTTAAAGAACACAGTTTTTTCTTGACTGTTTTTACATTTTATAGAAATAAGATAGTGATTGTATTTTTTTCTTTTAAAGATGATTTTTAAGTTTATTTATTTAAAGAGAGAGAAAGAGTGTGTGTGTGTGTGTGTGTGTGTGCGTGCATGTGGGAGGAGGGGGAGGGACAGAGGGAGAGAGAGAATCCCAAGCAGGTTCCATGATGTCAGTGTGGATCCCGGCATGGGGTTCAAACTCAGGAACTGTGAGATCATGGCCTGAGCCAAAATCAAGAGTCAGATGCCTAATGACTGAGCCACTCAGGCACCCCTGTATGTGTTCTTTTCTGTCTTCTTTGTCTCAACATTATATTTACAAGATTCATAGATGTGGTGGTGTATACTTGTTTATTTTCTTAGCTGCATGGTATTCCTTTATTGAATATACTAGATTTCGTTGTTGGTAGAGGTTATAAGTTATAGGAGATTATAGGCAGTGCTGCTACATTCTTTAACTTGTGTCGTGTTGCACGTGTGTTCTGTATTTTTTAATTTTTTTTTTTTTTTCAACGTTTATTTTATTTTTTGGGACAGAGAGAGACAGAGCATGAACGGGGGAGGGGCAGAGAGAGAGGGAGACACAGAATCGGAAACAGGCTCCAGGCTCTGAGCCATCAGCCCAGAGCCCGACGCGGGGCTCGAACTCACGGAGCGCGAGATCGTGACCTGGCTGAAGTCGGACGCTTAACCGACTGCGCCACCCAGGCGCCCCACGTGTGTTCTGTATTTACCTAGGAGTAGAACTTCTGGGTCTTAGAGTATAAGCATCTATACCTTTACCTTAATGCCAAACTGTATTCCAAAGTGGTTTTACCAATTTTTATTCCCAGCGGTATATATGAAAGACTGTATTTCTGCTACTCCACATGTGATATTATTATCCATCTTATTTTTTATCACCTGGTGAAGTTTCTCATTGTAATTTAGTTTATATATATTTTTTTATTAAAAAAAATTTTTTAACATTTATTTATTATTGAGAGACAGAGAGACAGAGCATGAGCAGGGGAGGGGCAGAGAGAGGAGAAGACAGAATCTGAAGCAGGCTCCAGGCTCCGAGCTGTCAGCGCAGAGCCCGACACAGGGCTCAGATTCACAAACCG